ATCCGGCGGCCGGCAACTTGCTGGGCCCCCCGAGAGCCTGAGGCCCTGGGCGCCCGCACCGCCTGCACCGGCGGTAGTTCCGCCACTGCTGTTATTGTTCATCGTCTCAGGGACGGTGCACACCTGTGCGACACCCCACCGCACAGCAATCGTGCACGATTCCGCGCAGATTGCCGCGCGGTCAGGAGTCATATAGGTTTGCACCGATCGCGCTGTGGGTGCCATTATTTTACAATGGCACCCCATTTGTACGTGTACCTTTTTTCTGCGATACACAACGGCTGTTTTAGCATGGGTTGAATTGCGGCGGGAAACCACGCACTCTGCCCAGCGCGACTGGGGTGCTATTGGAAAATAATGGCATCCACAGCACAATTGGTGCACACCTATACGGCTCCGCACAGAATCATGCACGATTGCCACGTGGTGGGGTGTCGCCTAGGTGTTCACCGGCCCTCAAGGTTAATATGGCAGCAATAACAAGTTAGTGAATGTTGAAAAAGTTTGTTGCTGCTCACCGAGACCTTCAACAAATTGAAAAATCCCTGAAAACATACATTTTTTATATACAAAACTACATGATCCACATGTGTGTGTGTGTGCCAAAATTAAGCAGAAATCTAGTTAAAGTGGTAAAGTCAAAAGCTTTTACACTATATCACATACTGATTGAATCACTTACAATTAATGCAGCTTCTTGATGTTTTTAAAGTGTTAGTTTCCTGAAGAATCAGCTGGTCCCCTGAGCACTGGCCCTGACTTCCTGTTTTAGGTTGGCTCATTTCCCTTGGAGGGTCCTATGGAGCCACCCTTGTGTGTGCTAGTATGCTGTATGTGTCTGCACAAACACACAGGCACAGCACGGAAAGGCACTACCCTACTATCGTTCCTCCGTTCTCCAAGCCAGTAGATGAACAGCTGCTGGAGACTGCTCTGTCCCTTATGATTTAGTACTGGACAGGAAGTCTAGGGAAGTAGAGCTGAGAGAGTTGGAGCTGTTCAGAAACATGATGACTGTAAGAGCTTGGGTTAAAATGTAAAGAAACATGTTGCCCGGCAATGTATATCTGTTTGATCTGGATTCATTATTGAAAAGAGTTTGAGATTTTAATACTACTTTAAGTAAATATTTTGGAACTCTTGGCCATGGTTTCATTTCCTACCACTGTTATTGAGAAATCTATCAGTATTTGGCCTTTGAAGGAGGCAATGCTAATTTATCCATTGTCTGTCTATAACAAGTAGTCTTATCACATCTTTAATGTATTTCTAGATTATTCTATCTTCTGGGGTAGACATAAGGTTTTCTGAGTACACACGATAATGACTTGCTGAAGGTGAAACAAGATACCTGCAGCAGGAAGCATCTCATTAAACCAAATCACTCTTCAGGTTACTGAATGATTTCACGATTAGCATGTTCTATGCTATTTCTCCAAATAATCATTTTCTTCCTAAATCAGAACACAATGCACTATGCTGTCCTCATTTCAACAGAGTGTAGTAATAAAAACTGAACCCACAAGGGGGCAGACTTTCATTTTCCTTTTCATATCTCTTTCCTTCCTTTCCTGCCTAAATTATATTTCAATAAAACACTCCCCCCCCACCTTCTTATCCAACTACTCTCTGTTCACAATGTTTGTTTTCTTCAAAAGCCTTCATTGCTTCTGCCATCCTTCACTTGTCATTACTCTCTTACTTATGAGCACATGGCTTAGATCTTTAAATCATTGGAAGATGTGATCAGCTACCTCAGTGTTGTTAATGGTTCAAATTAAGCGTCTTTTTATGCTACCTGTGATATGACCTGTCAAGTAAATGTGACACTAAACTCAGTACTCTGAATTCTGAACTCTGAATTCTGAACTCTGAATTGGTGCTGACACTGTCCTTCCTTCTGGAGGGTGGCTACTTTTGTTCCCCATGGTCCCTGCATGTTGTCCGCTCTAAGCTCAGTCCTGTATTATACTAAAGCTTCAATACAAATTACTAAACTAAATGTGAGATTGTAGTCCATCATAAGAGTGAGCTTGGAGCGGTGACTACACACACAGGGACCATGGGGAACAAAGTAGTCACCCTCCAGAGATGATTTGAGGATCTATAGTCGAATGATACACAAATAAGATACATTTTTGTTAATAGTTAAGGTACTTGTAATATATTTTTGAGATTTAACTCCTGAGTTTAGTGTCACTTTAAAGTGTAACTCCAAGACAAGGAGTTAGAACCCTTCCAAAACTAGAAAAACAGCTGTAGCTGACGTTTTTTAAGGATTTTCCAGGACCCCTAAAGTAGCTTTTACATGCACAAGAAATCTGTAGTCAGGTCTCCTATTCCTAGTAGAGGAATGCTCTCGGCTGGATTTCCCACAAGGACACCAATGCCTGGCCCCGGTGCAGCACAGCCACCAGGAGGGTAGTTTTTTTTCTACATTTAGCCCTGCCTAGGGCAAGCAGAGCTAAATGTAGAGGAGGGAGCCGGCACTCATTTAGTACAATGATCCTGGTAATGCCGCTGAGATCACTTGTAATATGCCTGCAGGTAAAAAAAAATTAAAGCCAACCCTGCTGCTCCCGCCATCTGGTTGCCATTATCCATTTGGGGGGGGGGAGTTGGTGGGGAGGGGATTGCATTGGCCCTGGGGTAGCAGAGAGAGTAAATCTGGCCCTGGGAACGTTAACAGTGCATATAGGCTGCTGGCCCTTGGAGAGGGGAACACATGCATGTACAAAATCCAGAGCTTGTAGGGGAACACTTAAGAGCCTTGGTCCTCAACTGGTGGGTCGTGACCAAAAAGTGGGTCACGAACCCATGTTCAGTGGGTCACCACATGCCTTCGACTGCACTAGGTGAGAGGCTCCTCAGCCTCCCCCTAGCGCAGCACTGTCAGTTCTCATGCCGAGCAGCCATTCTGCTTGAGGTGAGGTGGGCCATGATGGAGCTCCAACCATACGTGCATTGCTTACAGCTCCCTCATGTGACTGGAGTGATATCACATTCTGGATCCCGGCACCTCTACAAGGAGTGCAAAGGAGCTGTACAAGCAATACACATATGAATGGAGCTCTGTTACAGCACAGCCACCCACACTGAACCCCTAAAAATATTTTGGGAGTGTGTATGTGTGTGTGAGATTGTGTCTGTGGTTGTGTGTGTGTGTGTCTGTCAGTGTTTTAGTCGCAAACTAATATGCAATCGCACCTTGTTCGTTCTGGTGCGGGAAGTGCATATGTGTTGCAATTCTTTGAATGGCACCCCAAACACACAGTTTAATCGCTTGCACCGCAACATGCGGTACTGCAATGTGTTCCAGTGTGGTGTGACTTGGGTCGAGAATTAATGACCAAGGACAAATCTGGGTCTTGAGGTTTTACAGGTTGAGAACCATTGCTCTAGAGGTTACTTCTTCTGTGGACCATTACTTACTAAGTATTTTTAAATATCTATTTATCAATCTCTTTAAAAATATAATTTTAATTATGTCAAGTGTTTGTGTGATACAATTGCAGATAAAACATAAGTTACCTTTTAAACAAACCAAGTAGAAACAGAATAGCCACTGACAACTTTACTGACAACAAATCAGAGATCTCAGACCACTCACCCATATAGACTCTGCACCCCAAACCTGTACATTGGGGACAGTGTTATGTAATTATGTTTTTAGACTACTTGACATTTTAAATGTCTGCTTTTACGAAAACACAATTCTCATGTAAAAAATCATCCACTAAAAGCTACACAGATCAAATACATAAATGCTGCCCCAACACTCAAACTCAAAGTGAAGCAGCTTGCTATATGCAGGGCAGTGTAGGGAGGAGGGCAAAGACCTGTACAAGAGGCAGATAAAACAACCTCTAAATAAATGAATGGCCCAACAAAGAAGAGCAAATTCTACAGGTCAAGACTTTTCCTACACCTAAAAAAAGATGAGACAGATGCTGGTGACGTCATTGACCTTATATGGACACATGGCCATATTTGGTCTATAACCATCCCTAATGACAGTTCACATATTCAGCCATGTAAATGGAAGGATTGATTGGAGTAAGGTGTCTGTGCTACCTATGTGGGTATAAATGCTGGGGTATGTTCCTCACACTTATTAGAACTGAGGAACTGGCCTGGTAAAGCTGTGTATTGTCTCCAATATTACAGAACAAGTCCAGTAGAAGGTGACTTACTATTACTAGCTGTTGCAAATGTTTTGTAGTCAGTTTTGTAATTCACACACCTCTGACATGCATATCAAGAAGGTGACACTGCTATTTTACTGGCTTAGCTTTGCAACTTTCCGGATCATCTCCCTGTTCAGTGAGTAGAGGTGATGATGCTCTGTCATTTTCCATGGTGACAGAGGTGACACAATAAATAGAGGTGCCACTTGGCTAACCGTGCATTGGTACATTATATATATATATATATTTTCCATTTTTTGTTTTTCCACCAGTGTAGCTGTTGAGCCTTTAAACCTGCAGTTCCACTTGCCTGTATTTTTTATTCACTGCTTTACAAAAACAGTTGAATGGACAGTACAGAGGAAATATTGATATTCCCCCCTGACCCCAATTAGCACTAAGAAGAGGAGTTATCAATTCAAAACATTAAATCCCATCATTCTGTATGGTGAGTTCCGTGTTCAGAGTTTCCAGCTTCTCATCTATCACTCGGATGACAAGTCTCTGCTCTGTTTTATTACCATTTCAGAGGGAGGTGTATCCTGAAACATGCATTTATTACCTTTGTACATACTCCGGTTATGGCATCGCACAGAGTCAAGATGGAGATGTTCTGGGCTCTGTTTAACCAGTTCACTGCCACCTTAGTGTTGGTTGCCCATTTAACCATGGTTACATAGTACTCTCTGCAATGAGAAAACATAATGACATCAATTACCTTTACGTGCATTGTGCAACATGAATATACAACATATCTACCGTATGATGTGCCTGTTAATCCATGTGGCTACTTTTGCTACACCATTACTGCCCTTCCTAGGCATTTTTGAAGGATCTAACTGCACTGTAATATTTCTAATACACTTCCAATGACGTTTATTTTTTTTCTGTCTCCCAAAACAGTTACTTTTATGGCAACTGTCAAGTGTGCTTATTTCAGCTCTCAACCAAACATTCAAGCCTTGAAATGGCTGTTGTCATAGCTGATCACATGTGCAGCACCATGGCAACTGCAATCCTTGGCTGTAATACATAGAAGGTTGTAGTTACACTTTCAGGTCACAAGGGCAGCAATTTTATATTCATTTATTTTCAATGTTTTTTCCCCCCCTCAAAATAAGGTTTGTAAGGAGAAAGGATTGCTCCATCAATATGGTTTTAGGTTGTTTTTTTTCATTAATACAAATCCTCTTACTGGTTTTTCTTGTTTAATATTTACAGTACAAAATTTACATAAATTAAAAGAATATACACTGAGTGGCCAGTTTATTATGACCACCTGACGTTTGTAGGCAAATTAGCTATAATTAGCTATAATTTTGCGCTGAAGTTGCTAGAAGGCCAGACCATTATAAATAGGGAAGCAGGTTTTTTACCACGACAGTAGAAGTGATTTTTTTTCTGAAGATTTGGGTAAACAACGCGATTAAACAGCCTTTGAACGTGGAATGATTGTTGGCGCGAGCCATGGAGCGGGTATCAGCAAAACAGCAGAATTCGTTAAATGTTCAAGAGGGGCTCATTGTTAAAGTGTTTAAAGACTGGACTGTCAGACGAAAATCTGGGTCTGAACGTACGAATTGTGGCCGTCAGCGACTAGTCAATGTTAGGGCAGAACGGAGAGTGGCAAGACTGGTACAAGGCAACAGAAGGGCAACAGTGCAGTGTCAGATTCCTCGCATCACCTTTCAATATCTCGTGGAGTCACGTGGCGGCCCAACAAAGTCATCTCGTGGAGTTATCTCGTGGCCCAACAAAGTACTGATGGGGTGGTCATAATAATCTGGCCACTCAGTGTACAAAATATAGGCTTACATACATCATAGCTTTCACCATAAACATGGTGTTTATTCCTTATTTCTAATTCCTGAGTCATATAAATCATTCCTCTATTCCCAAACCTCTATCTATTAACCAAACCACTTTTTTATTTAGCAGATTCAGTCCCAAATTTCTGACTTTGACTTCTGTCACCCCCATTCACACCGGAGCATTTTGTTGCGTGTTTCTCAAATTTGACAACACTCATGAATCCCATTATTTTCTATGGTGCCTGTTTACACCTGAGTGTTTTGTTGTCTATTTCCCAAAGCGTGACCATGCTCAGTGTGGAGAATCCCATATTTTTTACAGTGCCTATTCACATGGAGGGTTATTCACAAAAGGGTGAAGAGTTAGGAGAGGGCAGGAGAAGTGAACAATCTAGGACAACATCGCTGAACTGGAAAGTGAGCTGAATTGGAGAACTTTTCCAAATCATCTATTTTGTCCTAGATTGTTCACTTCTCCTGCCTTCTCCAAACTCTTCACCCTTTTGTGAATAACTGTGAGTATTGGATCTTTCAAAACACACTTGGACGATTTCCTCAGAGACCGTAACATTCAGGGGTACAGGTTCTGTTAAGAACAAGAACACGCGGGGACTCATACACAAGCATACACATCCAGAGTCACATGCATACACGCAATGGGTTGAACTTGATGGACCTGTGTCTTTATTCAACCTCGCTTGTAATTTCAAAAAAGTCAATATTTCTGGCCCAATAGGCTTCAGTGAGAGCACCTGAAAAACTACCGGTAAAACACGTGTATTGTGCATTTCTCATGCAAATTTGTGTGCAACAGCGGTATCCCCTTAGTAATCAGCTTTTCATACTAGAGTTGTTTTTGATAATGCAATCAAAGCTTACTTGAAAAAAATCCCTTTTATGTAGTAAGTGCTGCCTTCCGTCTGCCCATGACTTTCATCAACTTCCTGGGGTCCCAGTGTGCTTTGTATCTCTAGCCCTGCTGCCTGATATGATGAAATGTCAATTTCTCAAGACTACATATCCCATCATGCATTGCTTCCAGCAAGAAATGATGATGTCATATTCTTCACACGTTGAAACAAAAACACTCGAGCTTGAAAATGTCTAAAAATGCCTGAAAACTACATGACAAAATACACAAAAATGCTTAATTTGTCACTCATTGCTCATGCTTAAGTATAAATGGAGGCTGTAGGACTGTTTGGTTCTTCCCTTTCCCCCAACAATAACATGACTGCTTTCAGTATCATTGGTAGCACTGAAAGATGCAGAATTTATAAGTGAAATAGAGATGTCTCTTTTTCTTATGACAGCACTGGTACACTTAATTTCACTGTTACACACAGAGGAATGATGATTATTATACGCCTGGAAAACATCCAAAAGTCCCTGCTAGTTTTGTTTCTGGACGACTGATAAATAACAGCAGTACTTATAAGGAACACTGATTAGCTTTATCTAATAAGCTTGTACTGCGAGTCAGTGCTGATTGATCATCCAGGGCTGAGTGAACATTTCAAGTGCAAGAATGAGCCAGATATTCCAACACAAACTGACATTTCTGATTACAAGATGAATGCCCTATGCTTGCAAATGGAAAAGGCCGGTCCACTTATGATGAATACTGCACGGTTTATGTGTTTGCAGAAGTCATTATCATGGCGCATGCACTGTGCTATTATATTGTGTATTGATGGCCAGAAATAAGACGCACTTTCAGTTAATCCCTTAACGATAGATCCAAATGAATCTGGCTGCAACTTTAGGATCAAAATCTTTTTTTCTTTTTCATGCAGTGCCATTAATATGCTTTTTTTCTTTCTTTTTTTTAAATTTTTAAATGGGGTTTCTCCTAACATTCCTACCAGACCTAAAGGGTCTGGTATTGTTTGGGAGGGGAAACCGCACACTTTTTAAAATTACTTTTTAAAAGTCATTTTTTTCTTTACAAATTTCATTTTTGCTGCAGTAGGTTCTATGCATCGTACAGATGTGCCACTTGTACAGCGTATTTTGTCAATACAATCCTATAAAACACAAAAAAGCAGCAGCTGGGCCTCCTAGGTACCGCAACTTCAGGTGTATTTTTACGCTGTAGTCTCATACACCTGTATTTGCGTCCATAGAAATGAGACCTTATAGTTTCCCTTTAAAGCACAAATATTCAACTTGGTAAACAATGTTGACTAGCTGTCTGGTTCCTTTACACTCGTACAAGCTGGTTAACTATTCAATATGCCCAATGTGAATCCACAAATTATACTTACAAAGCATTCTACAGGCAAATGTCTATAGACAGTTGAGTTCTGAATCCCCATGGCAACCAGCAAAATCTGAACAATTATTATTAATCAACATGGATCCAGCTTTGGGGTATGACAGAAGTGCTACAACACTACAGGGTCTATTTATAAACAATGTGCAGTGCCTTTCACCCTGCAAATATCTGAGAACATTTGTTTTGGGCAAATAATGCCCAAAACAAATGTACTTTTTTTTCCCCTCAGTTAGAATGTAGTGTGTTGTTATAATACATTATAACCACTAGATAGAGCTAAGATGCATAGGAAATAAATATTTGTTTCTTATGCTCCTTATCACCATCTTGTGGTTATAATATACTATTACAATTGAAGCCAAAAGTTTCCCTTTCTATTCCCCTTGGAAGCATTGGAAGCAGGTCAGAAAGTGATTGCCAATGAGTGAAAAACTATACAATGGTCACCATGACAACCTTCTCACGTTGAAAAAAGTTTTCCTCTTACTTCCTGTTGAAGTGAAGGAAAATCTCCCCGACAGGACACAGACAGAAAACAAAATGTTGAAAGGGGTTTAACCTGTCCTGCTCTATCCAAAACTAAAGAAGAACAAAAATCCTGCTACATTCACATGATTAATGCCAATGCTGTAATAAGAGAAAAACTGCTAAGATAAGCAGTGAACCGGTCACATGTGCAGTAAGGCCCCATTCACACATACAGCGTAGACCTGCGTTTTAAGTGACAGTTGTTTTCTCTGTGCTCTGCTCACACCACAATGCATGTGTTATAGGCATTACACTGTGGCAAACATGCTGCATTTTATTGCAATGCACCGGATGCAACCGCAGGGCACTGCACTGCTGTACGGGGACCTGAATGGAGGATATACATTGTACACTACCGATCAAATAAAAAAAAAAAATTGTAGAAGAAGTAAGGAGGAACAGGCGTGAGGGGATGACAGCCGCCGATAGACAGTCCCGATCTCAGAAGCAAGTTGCTAGAAGACTGCTCAGGTAAGTCTGGACTTTCCCACACATGGTGCTCTATAATGTATTGCTGGGATAGTGGGATTTGTAGTCCTCTTTAGCTGATGGTACATTGCGCTGTACTGTATATTATACAGAGCAATATACCATCAGCTATAGAGGACTACAACTCCCAGCAATACATTATACACTGTATGTATAATGTATTGCTGGGATTTGTTGTATCCCTATATAGCTGGTGGTATTCCGCATTGCGCTGTATAGAAGACTACAAAACCCAGAAATACATTATACAGCGCAATGCAGAATACCACCAGCTATAATGTACTATTGCTGGGATTTGTAGTCCTCTATAGCTGATGCTGTTCTGAATTGCTGTATAATGGTATTGCTGGGAATTGTAGTTCTCTATAGCTGTTGGTAGTCATTATTGCTGGGATTTATAGTCCTCTATAGCTGATGGTATTCTGCATTGTTGTGTAATGTATTGCTTGGAATTGTAGTTCTCTATAGCCAATGCAATTCTGCAATGCTGTACAATGTATTTCTGAGTTAGTGGCAAAACTACCAGTGGTGCAGCAGTCATCCGTGCGCACAGCCCTGACAAGGCATCCCTCCACTACCAGTGTGCTGTAAATTTCCTAAACCGATAAGATACATTCACACTACTGTTACATGGATGGCAAGAGGGAGAGCGGGAGGGGGTCAAGTTGCTGCACCATGGGCCTCTGGGTTGTACTTGCCCCCTGGGCTAAAAGTTGACCAGTCAGCCCCTGGCTCCAATTTTGCTATAATTCCCCCAATGTACAGAACTCTTCCAGTTGCCATGGTTACAAGAAAGTTTAAACTTTTTTTTCAGGTTAGCTGGTTGCAGATTGCAATAGAAAGATAGTTTTCATTATGTGACAGAAGGGCTTGTGCACCAATTATATGTGATGTGAATTTTTTTTTAATGAAAAAAGAGTTTTTCCTTTAAAGTTGGAGCTGCATTTTGATTAGGTGAGTTTCACTTTACAAGTACAAAATAAGGTCTAATCTTTCCTAGTTAACTTGTCTGGAGAACTCAGCTGTCAGACCCAGAGCCCTCTGAAGATTTCAGTCCGAATTGATTAATTTCACGATTCCATTTAAAGGAAAGAGCAGAAAGAACGCCGAAGCCTTAATGAATATATGTACATTCCAATTGAATGAGACCACCGCTGACCTGCATTTTACGGTAATGAGTGCGAATGGAAGGCATTAAGTAGACCTGAAGAACTGATTTAGTAATTGAAATGTGCTGCTTATCATAAATTAGACTTTTTCAATGCGGCAAACACATTCCCTGGAAGCCAAAGAAATACATAAAATGGACTAAATAAATAACTTATTAAACAGCGCTCTTACATTGTAATATAGGTCACATCTTTGCTCGCAGCAGAATCTCTCCGAGAGATTAAACATATTTTTCTAATTTATTGCTCTTTTCAGACCAAAAGCATTTTGGCATCCATTTTGCTGGTTGCAGTTTTGCTACATAAATAAATGTCTGGCAAAGAATGCGGCATTCAGAATGTGCTAAATATATCCATTGTGCTCTATGCCTTACACTCCCGTCTAAGGGGAAGCTAGCGTACAGCGTGTGTGGGGTTTATTTAGATAATGTGAAAATGTGCACCAATTTTAGAGCGGTCTTATCACTTATGTAATTATATTATACAAAGCTCCAGTCAAAACTTTTTTTTGTAGGCAAGCGTTAAAAACCCTGGCATGATTTTCATTGCTGTCTGTCACCCCACTGGGGAGATCCCCTTCCTTTTAGCCACTTGGCCACAGTTGTATGTCTTTAAACGGCAGAGTGTTTTTTTCTGCTGTGCCATTTATAAACAGCATAGCAGAAATAACCATTGGACATCTACTACATCTGTTAATGGCTGTGAACCAATGCACCCAGACCCTGTGTACAGAGCAGATACGAGGAGGTTCTGTACATTGTGATGACCAATCACAGCAATCAAAAATGGAAACAGTATAGTGTTTACATTGGTAAGCCCGCCCTTTTTTTTTTTAAACAGAGGAAGGGGTGGAAGGAGGAATTATTGAATGAATGAATCATCATCAGCAGTTGTGAATTATATTTAACCCTTCTGCCCCTTCCCCTCTTCTGTATATGTCAGCTCCAGCCTGTCTCTGCAGTGGCCTGTATATAAACCTCTTCGCCTCCCATATCCAACACATCTGTACAGTATCCCCCTCAACTCCAACCTCCCACTGTATCTGACATGTTATACCTCTCAAAAAAACCCCACTTCTCTGCGTGTTGTTACAAATGGTTATTACCTAAAGGGGGAGAGGTTACACCTGGAGACCACTGAGGCAACAACGCACCATTGTATTTCTTCTTCATGTACATTAACCCCCTCATCTCCATCCTCCCACTGTATGTGGCATGTACATTAACCCCCTTATGTTTGTGGCACCAAACCTCCCACTGTATGTGGCATGTACATTAACCCCCTCACTTCTACCCACCCACTGTATGTGGCATGTACATTAACCCCCTCGTCTCCATCCTCCCACTGTATGTGGCATGTACATTAACCCCCTTATCTCCACCCACCCATGGTCCACCAAACCTGGATGCATTGAGTTTCAGGAGAATGGGGCATCAGGGTAGTAGAGGGAAAATTAGTATCTACAGTGGAGAGATGGCTTTCAAGCAAACTTGTTATTTGGACAATAAAAGGTTTGCTTTAAATTTAGTTATTTTGCTCC